TTGCGAAGTCGTATTAACAATTTAGTTTAGAAAACATAAAACAAACAATTGACTGCTACAATGCTTATAGCTACGCAGAAGACTCCTCCGGCGGATCTTTCCAATACCGTTTAATAAGTCGTTTGGAGCCAAAAAAATGTGCCACCAAAGCCAATATGAGGATGACCACCGTAATGACGATCCATGGGCTATAAGGACCGAAATTCATATTCTCTTCTTCTTCTTCCTCACCACAATCTTTAATCCTCTCTTAAGTTCTTTTCTTCTCCTCACAAAAATTATACTTATTTACATATATATACATGTATTGCCGATACTAAGTTTACATTTTTGTGAATAAATCAGGAAAATTTGGAAATGTTTGATTTTGTCATTAAGGAACATTAATTAGGGGAAATTGGAAACTTTTACATTTTATGGTGTTGTTTTCTTTGGTTCATCACGTGTACTGTTAAGAATGTTTCCAAAATACTCTAGATTGTGATATTCATGTATTTCCTTTTTTCCAAATATTTCGTTTTGTCATTATTGTGTATCTTTTTCGTGTTTACTGTATTAAAAATAATATTATGATAGCATTTAATCTGATGAATATAGAAATATATATCTATAACGATTCAAAAATAAAAATTTATACAGTCTCAACACGTTCACATACATTAACGCATTGGAACTTATAAGTGTGTTCTTGCCACAAGACAAGATTAAAAAAACCCCACATAACAAGCCAGAAATAGCATAAATTTATTCAAAATGTTAAAAGTTCCAACAGCTCTTGTTTGGTTGCTCGTACGTCATTACATGGGTTTATAGAGCCATAAGGCTATTTGTGTGACAAAGACTGTTAAAGGGAGAGATAATACTAATAGCAAGTGTTCAGGATCTTTACCAATCGATACCGAGTTGCTTGGAGTGGAATAGATTATCAAGATACGTAATTACTGGTGCCGATGCATTTACATAGCTTTGCATCTGTATCTTCGCCTCCGCCTCTGTAACCATTCATAAATACATGAGAATGTTATCATAGCAATATTAAAGAAGAAACTCCCTT